CAGCCCTCCAGCACCAGGTTCCCAGGCAGAAGGTACCATGACTTTCTTTTCTTAGTCACTAGGAGTTGACCTCTTTACAAACATAATTTGACAGCCGAGGAGGCAGGATCACAGAACACAGAATGAACAATAATACAAAGTCTTAGATCCTAATCCAAATTCTCCCACCATTTAGCACAATAATGTTAGGAACTTAGTGTCAAAAGTACTGAAATGAGATCATGAACAAGAACATTTTGAAAATTATGAAATGTCATAAATGCACAAAGCAACTCTTTCATTCTTTAATAATTACTTATGTTTCCTTTGTGTAGTCCTGAAATGCCATGGGGGAGGCTGCTGAGTCCAGACAGAAGAATCAACAACAGACAAGGCGTTCTTGTTAGATGCTGAGACAATTAGCTATTTGTGTCTAAAATAATATTTATGTGAAATGTATTTAAAGTGTTCTAAAGTTTGATTTCAATAACACATATTTCAAAGACAATGAATTGTAATGGATCTTGTTATATTGCTCTTGCATCAATAAAAATGGATTCTTTTCCCGGCTTTAATGCATGTAAGTACTTTCAGCATTTCAGTCATAGTGAGTAGAAACATCTCGAAGTAAATTAGAACTCAGACCTTACTCAGAATCCACAATCTCAGCGCCTACTTTCCTTGCAAGCCTTAATCAAAGATTTGAGTAACATCTTGTGGCCCTGATTCCCTAGGTTATAAATTTCATGCCCCCACTGCATGAAAGAATGCTTTTCCTTGTCCCAGGAACACCAGGGGAGGAATCCAGAGCTCTGTAGCCAGCTGAGGAATGTTCTCACCAGAGAAAAAGTGGGTGCAGGAAGAAGCCCTGATGTAGGCTCAGCCACCTCCTTCCACACACCACATCTTAATGGCTGGGTAGTGAAATGCATTGTACTATATGGCGCACACAGCTTTGGGGGACAGTAGGAAAGAACTGAGTTCAGTTAAAACGCCTGAATTGTTTGCATTTTTAAAATGTCACATTTCTGCATTGTTCTTTTTACTGTAGGGAGAAGAGAGACTTTGTAATTCTGTGCACATTCTCAGAATACTACAACATGAGCAAATTTAGTAAGTATCTGAATTTTCCTTATAAATTCATGACCGCTAAGAAAAGCATGAATTCCATCCCTCCAAAGAGACACTGTATTCTGGTCACATTGAAATGTTACTTGATTTGAATTCTAGGTGTTGTCAGCCTGGGGATCTTCGGGATGTCTGAAATCTGAGCTCAGGGCCTGACCATGACCACCACTCTTGGGGTGCTTTCTGAGAGGCTGTCTTGTTCTCTTCCGTTTATATGTCCCAGGTGCTGGGCTTGGGTTCCCCCACTGGGTGGGAAATATGCCAGTGCCCAGCTGAAGGAAGAAAAAGAGGTGGGAACTAAGAAAAGACTGGGGGGGGGCAGTTGGGGTAAGGTATCATTTGTTCTCACCTCCTGGGCCAGGCTACAGTGTTATCTATCCTAACAGGTTAGTGAAGCTAGCAGCTCCTTTGGTAAACATGAGTTTCTTCAGTGCACAGTGCCTGATATTTTGCTTTATTCTGTTTTGATTTTGAGATAGGGTCTCACTGTTAGACCAGGCTGTCCTCAATCTCTGGGACTCTAGCAATCCCCTGAATCAGTTTCCCCAGGAATTAGAATTATAGGCAGAAATCAACTCAACAAGCAACTTCATAAACTGAATACTAGTTCAATGGAACACTGCATTTTAAAACTCTGGATAAATTTATCATTATACTTAATACAGCCTAAAATTAAATTTGATTTATCTTGCACACAATATATGGTGTTTGAAATTTACATTCTTTTATTTTAATATATTAACCTAAAGGATGAACAAACACAGTTAAAATTAACTTATAATTACCAAGATTTGCCATTATTCTTAGTCCATTAAAAACCCAAATCATATGACCTATAGAGGAATGATTTGATGTGAGTACATTTGCTCCCTCATTCTTATTTTATTAGAAAAACTCAATTTAGTGTATTGACAATTTGTTACTTCTTGGATCAGGGCTGTATTACATACTGGCCATAGATGATACTAGTCTATCAAATTAGTTTCTAAATAAAAAATTAACAAAAGGTCACAGCTTGAGGTGGATGTGGGTTGGTTGGTTCAGCTGAGCAATTTCCCCAGTATGAACAACAAACCAGAAAATGAAACCACTTGGATGCTCTGATTAAGGACTTATAGCCTAAGTTGCAGAGAAAACAGGATGATTGTGCAGGTCTTGGTGTTCTCTCCTAACACACAAGGACCACAAAGAGTCAGAACTCCAGGAAGGGGAAGAGAATTAACCATTAGCATTTTCCAAAGTCTGGGAACCAAATATACAAATAAGTAAAATTTAAAAAAAAACTCCAATCTATGTATCATTTGATAAATTAAGTCACCAATTCCCTGGAAATGTTTGGAGTAAATTTGGCTATATTGGGTTGTCATGCCAAGCTGCTAAACATACTGCATGAAAGAAGGAAAGCCCCCTTAAAAATACATCCTGCCCCCACCATCTAAAGTGGTGAGGATGATCAACTGAATGAGACCTGCTGGAGTGAGCTTAGTGTGTTCACTCACTCACACAGGACTGCCAGCCTCCGCCCTGTGTGCCAGAAGGCTGCAGAAGGGCACCACAGCCATGAAGAAACCATTGGCACAGCTCATGGTCAGGCACTGGATAATTAGCACAGCATGACGAGGCAAAGACAGAAGCCTACAGGGCTTTCCAAGATAGATAACGGATGGAGTGAGGGTTGGAACACATGGGCTGTGCCCTAAGAACTGAGCAAAGCATGCTGGGAACAGTACTCACGCCACTAGCAGTTTGGGAAGAGAGAATGAGATTCTCATGAGCAGCGAGGACAGTATTGAGGAGGGGGAGCAGGGGCTGTTTTCAGATCTGAGGTTAGCAAAATCTAAAACAAAAGCCAAACTTACAGACACAGACTCTGTGACGTGTGTCTACACACTCCACTGTAGGGCACCTGCTGACCAGTGCAACTACAGTCACAGGACATAAGAAAAGGACAATAGCAAAGAGAAAATAAAATGGAACGGGGAGAAGAAGAGAAGGGCAGCCCAATGGGGGAGAAGGAGCAACCAGCTTACCAGCCAGTGCTGGAAGTGCCTTCTGGAAGGTAACTATGTCACCAGGCAGGCGCTGTGTTACAGTGTAAAAGCTGAAGCCCTGGAATAGAGGCCCATGTGTCCAGCTGTGAGCAGTGAGCCAAGCTATTATCCCATCATTATCCCCACCCTGTGTAACTGTGTAACCGGTCTCCCTCCCTTTACTGCTCAGGATAGGGAGTTTTAGGGAGCTTTAGCAGAAGGTGCCTAAGTACTGGAGATTGCAACCTTCCCTATTCGTGATTCCTCACTGGTACATAACCTCTCACTCATGCTCCCGAAGCAACCTCAATACAGTGACTGGTTCCCCAACTACAATTTGAGTGGGATCATTTCTTCTGTCTGCTGATGATTCTCTCTATCTAGGGTGAACAGATGTTTGTTTGCGGCTCCTCAGGAAAAACCACACAAGGGAATGGCGCGTACTCTGGATGCCTGGCTGGCAGGAATCAACAGGAGTGCTCAGATGCATCCAATGATTGAGCCGCAACATCCCAGAGAGTCAGTGGCCATGGAGAAGTCACATCTCCCAACCTTGCTATGTTCTACAGAACTCACCAAGCAAGTTAGAGAGTTCTCTACTATTTTTTATTTATATCATTATACACTCATTTATTTGTGAGTATTTCATATTCTGGTTCTTTGCAACCCGGAGCTGCGAGTGTAGTTTCGTAAATTTTTATTGATTTAGCTCAGAGGTATTTCTGATGATTAAATATCTTTTGGTAAACAAGGTCTATCAAATTCTGCATTCTCTCCTCTTCTCTCTCCCCTTCTCTTCCTTCTTTTGCTCCCTCTTTCTCTCACCCTTCCCTTCCTCTCTGCAGCCATGTATTTCTGCTTAGCTAAGCTTATGATATATTACCACCTCTCTCCTTCTACACTGCTGAGATCTGCATCGCCGTCCAACTCTCAGAACCATTCTCCAAAGGGACAGGGAGCAAGACAGACTGTCACACTGTTATCAACACACAGCCGAGAGCCCCTTGCTCCTGCCCACTCCATGTCTTGCATTGTCCCACATGCTTGTGACCCTGAGGCCAATGCTGCTTGGCCAGCTGCCTCTGCCCCTCTGCACGTACGGGCATTTCCCCACGGATCAAAGTGCAGTCAGCATTAGAAAAGTCTATGTGCTCCTCTTTCTACCAGTGTGTAGTGTGTTCTGCCTCTGTTGGTATGCAGAAACAAAGTCCCCCTTTCCTGAGGACACACAGGGTTCCTGGAGCGATAAAGTCCTGCGTGTGCAGCGAACCCCAAATTGTTTGAAAGCATCGTGTGTGGGTACTAGGATGAACCCCCATCCTCAGTGGGTTTATTAATGAAAATTTGGGAGTGTAGATTTCAGCACTGACGGAGATAGAGCAAATCACAAGGATTTGCAAAAACCATCAAGAGTGCATCTCACATCATTTTGGTGCAGTGATTTTATGGGGCAAGTGTTGAATATTTGTTTTGTAGGAACAAGGCCCTGGGCTGCCTCTCTGATACTGCAAAGCACAAGATAATGCAGCTATGTAACTGTTCTCTGTGGTTAGCTGCAAAATTTAGAAGAGGCAAACTAAATACTATTTTAAAATTATTTCTTATATTTTTCTAACAGCATCAGAGCTAGTTTATTTTGAAACTTATATAATGATTCAAAGTACCCATTAAGGTCTTAGTTTACTTCCTGACCTTTCCTGAAATGACTGTTTGCTGTAACTCATTTCCACTGAACGTCAAAACACGGAACATTTACTCTTCATCTGTATCCCACCTTGCAGGGACTCCTCCTATCAGGAACCTAATGTTTTATATGCAGTTTCCAGCGTAGGGTGGGGTGCCCGTACCCTCTGTTTTCCTTACCTTCGATTTGCCCTTGCTATAACAGGCCTTCTTGGTAGCTTCATCACACTCCCACTCCACAGCCTGCAAAGAGAACACAGGCAAAACTTTAGGGCTTTGGGGGAAGAGGGAAAATAGGAAGGTCTCAGTGGCTAGATAGATCATTGGCGCATCTTTGAGCTAACACCTTCACAGTGGTATAGAATTAACACCAAATACAGGATAACAAGTCACGGGCTCACATTCAACTTCAAAATTAAGACACTTAAAAGACTTTTCCATTAAGAATCAGCTTCATAGTCAAAGTAGCAGGACATTCAGGTACAGTTACTGGTTAAACAAGGTTGATTACCTGAGGGAAACCAGGGTAAGCAACCAGCTTAAAAGATCTGAACCATTCAGATCACAGTGTGTCATGCATCAACACTCACGGATAATGCCAGGGATGACCCTGCATGTTCTAGCTACCACAGTATCCATATACATGACAGCGAGGGTCTGATGGGTTTGTGCACAGAGCATGGGGACTATTTCCCATCTCTACATGGCCACTAGCTCTATTTAGAGCCATGCTGTTGAGTATTCTTCAAACTTTTCAAATCTACCCCATGCTGATCAAGTTGACCAATTCATGAGCACACCTAGCCACAAAGAGACCCCATGACACTTAAGAAGATTGCCTGTGTTCCCGAGACAGAGGCACTTCACAAGCCATGTCTGCAAGTCACCTAACTCCAGGCTAGTCATGGAACTATTATTATTTTTTACTATTTTGTGCTGTGAAGACTTTTATATGGAAAGTTTTTCTCCTATTTTGTTTTCATATCTTCTTGTTGTAATATTTTTTCTAACTAGTAAAATTAGATTTCTGAAGATTCAGAGTTATGGACCAGTGAAGTTATTGTCAGGAAAACATGTGAGGAGCAACCTTGTTAGGCCAGAAAATTTCAAATAATAAACTAAACTAAATCCAATATACAATAATAAGCCGAAAAATACTCCCTCTACGCCCTGTGCACCAGAGAGAACTGTTTTTCAATTCTCCAAAATGCAGGAGAATACATGGTCAGGCCACCACTGCCAAACAGCTGCATGCCAGGGGAAGTCATAGCAACTGTGTGCCAGATAGCTTAGCCCACTCAACAAACACGAGACCCTGAGAAAGTCATCCACAGAGACCCACCCTGGTATTCCTCCAACAGGAACAGTGCCATGTTTGTTTATAATTGTGTGGATGCGAGTTTCAACCTCCAGTAGGAGAATGTGTTGATTCTGTGACCCTTTCCAGGGTCAGTGTTTGGTGAAGGTACAGCCAGTCCATGTCTGAGGTGAGTAACTGCCTTGACTTCCACCCAGGATGGCAAGTATTCCTGCGAACAGTGAAGATCCCACACAGGCAGGGACTTCACACACAGCACTGCGACATGCAGATTCAAAAAATGAAAATATACACTGTTAACTTTGTCTGACCTTTAATATGTTCTTTCCCTGCATCAGTTTATAACAAAACTCTCCGTTGTATCTTTGCTCTTATTTAAATGTAAGACAAAATTGATAATGGGATATATTCCCTCATCAACAAAGAACTCATTACAAATTTAAGTTTATATTGATTAAACTTATATTGATTACCAAAGGGGCTGATGTCCTTTAACAGAAAGAGGGGTTGCAGTCACACATGTCTGAGCACATCTGCACAATGAAACACTGAGGAGCTGCTCTCAATGACTCTTGTTGACTCGGCGATATTGTTAAAAGTTAAATATTGGGGAATGGAATGACAGCTAGTCAATGTTAGTAAGGTGCTCTGTATGAAGGTCTGAGAGCCCAGTTCCGAGGAAGTGGAGACAGAAAGGACCTTGGAGCTTGCTACCCAGATGGTTTAGCCTCATCTGTGAGTTTCAGACAAATGAGAGACCATGGCTGAAAAAGAAACAAGACCCAGCAAGGTAGGTGGCACCAGAGAAATCATACCCACGATTGACTCCGCTCTCTCTCTCTCACCCCCCTCTCTCACACACACACAACACACACACATATACACACACGCATGCATGCACACATGCACGCACATTCATGTATATACAAACACATAAGTATACCTGCATCCATCTTATGCATTTGCACACACAGAAACACCCATGCCTTAAATGCTGATAAAAGTTAGACAGGAAGGCTCATGAGTTTCAAGTCTGCCTGGGCTATAGAGGAATTATGCTCAGCCTGAGTGACCTAGTGGGGCCATAAAACAGAGAGCTGAGAATGGTGCCATTGCCTGCCAAGTGGGAAACCTGAGATTCAATGCACAGTAATGCAAAAAAAAGTAAAATATTAATAATCTCCTGAATAAACATAAGAGGTCTGGGTAGCAGGGTGAGCCCCAGGATTAAGGGAGAATATTATTCAAATGCCATCAAAGTTAGATCTCACTGCTGCCAGTAAACAAACAGCTTCCCAATTCCACCTGGTGCTCAAGTAGCCTTCACATTCTCAAGATAAATATTGGCCAAGGACCAGGAGTGAAAAGAAATAGGAAAAAAAGAGAATGAGTTTTCATAAATATTTTATTACTTCGTCCAGAAGACTGAAAACCAGCAACTGCTCACACAAGTTTGTTGGATCAATAGTAGAACAGCACATATCTAACTTTTCTCTTATTTGAAGTAGAGAGCATTCCAACTTTGGCAGCATGGCAGCCATATTCAAATTCAGAATTAATTGAAAACCATGACCGTTTAGCTTTCTATAGTTTCATATTATTCATGAACAGAGGGAGAAGGAAATTATAAACTAATGGTGGGGATTTACCCAGAGAAGATAGCAAGGGAAACAGATTGTCAGCTGCTGCAGAGCTGTATAAGAAACGGAGTTGGGAAAAGAGACTTTTCTAGATTTACATGAGAATCAAGAGTTCCGGATTAACCTAGCAGCATCCTCCTTTTTATTCACCAGAATAGACTGTGCCTTGCGGATCTTCTGGCAGCTATGAAAATACGCTGCCCCAGGAGACACCCACAGGGGCTGGTGGAATTATCTTGCACTAGATTTGACTTCTCAAAAGTTCTGCTCTTTTCTTCCAGCTCAGCTTCCTCTTGAGCTCCATCCTAATGCCCTTTATTGTAAGGACCCAGCCTTGCTGATGAAAGGCCTTCCACTCCAACTCTACACCCAGTCTTGCTGAGACTGGCTATTTGTATGTGTATCATTATTTTGAGGCAAAACCCATAATTGACTTAGGAAGTGTTCCATATACTTATCTTCACGTTCATCCTAGCTACATTTAAACCAACTCAAATCTGTTTTTCTGTCAATCGAAACAAATGAAAAGTAGTTTTTTTATCTCCAATCTCAGCACAACTGAGTCTTACTTCCTCAATTTTTTTAAAACTTAAGTTTTGTTTTTGTTATCCTTTGTCTTTTCTACTACAGAAGAAAAAAAACATGAATATTTTATTATCCAACATTTCAAGTCCATTAACCGTGTCAAAGGCAAACAAAACAATAATAGTGTTTTTTTTGAATAATCAGTGAATCAATGTTTTTATAAATAAATCAATCTACATTTAAAAAGACTAAGGATTTGTACATGTAGCCCATTTTTCTGTAGAGATACATAAATATCTTCTGGGATACTAAATCGATTTTAAAAGTTTTGATGTAGTTCTTTACATAGAGCCTTTTCATCATTTAATATTTATTAAATATCTACTGAGTATAATACCTCCTGTACTATATAACATTTGATGGAACAAGAAAGATAATATTTGGTCACATCAGTTATTAATTTGAATTAAAAGTATTTTTTCAATATCTTGAAATAAAATCATTTCTGAACTAGAAATAAAAGAGTCTACTTTATGGTTGATCAGACCACACAGCAGCAAGTGGACCCTTTTCCTGGTATGGTAGCTTCAAGGTGGCACAGGTCAAGTTCAGTGACAGGCTTGGGCATTGTCCCTCTTTTGAAAGTCACAGTGCTACAGTCCCGTCCATAAAGAAGCATCCAGGACAACAGAACTCAGCTGTTAAACTATAGGAACCCGAGTATGGAAGGAACTTCCCACTGTTTCACAGTAGACTGGGCAGAGGGACATGCTCCAGCCCTGACAAATGAAGCTGTGATCTCAAGAGGAAGTCAGATGTTAGAAAGAAAAAGGATTGTCTCTTTTTATGTACTTGTTACACACATATAAATCCACAGTCCTCAGAAGTGTATAAACAGAGTTGTGTATTATCACATTCCACAGGCAGAGAAGTTAATTAGATGGGGACTAGCAGCAGCGGATGCTTTTCATAACAATGAAGAGAACAACATCCCAGGCAGATGGGCCACTGCTCCGTCAGCAGATGGATCTGCTAATTAGATACGGGCAAAGGATAACATTTGAAAAAAACTAGCTTAATTACACAGCACCAAAACTTAATAACCACCTGAGGGATTTCATTTTCGCATGTTCGCATTTATATTCCTATGTCATGTATTTCTGCAACACACTGGAGAGTGTCACATTGTCACCACCTTTATGAACAAATTGTCAGGGAATGTGAGGCCACATCTTCGCTCAAAAACAGCGAAACTCAGATGAAGCTTGAAACAAGTGGGGGATTCCACGGAATTTGAAGAGTGCCGGTCGAGCCAACCCGGAACATGGCTGTCTTCACTTGTCTCCTTCATTTGGCATTCATGTCTGCTCAGAGTGACACAGATTTCACTGTGCTGAGGTCAAATAGCTTAGTCACTTTGGGAGAGCTGTCTAATGTGCATCATCGTCTTTATGTCTTGTGTTAAAGGCGAGTGTTCACTTTTGACAGGGACCCACAGGATTCCTGCTTTCTGATTATGTCAGGGAATCCATTTGCTTCCTGTGGGCAGTCCCTCAAGATCACGAGGCTGGAAAGGAACTTCCTCTAAGTTTAACTAATGTATCTTTGTGGTTGGTTTTTAATTCTTGCTATACTAACACCACATGCAATTCAGTTATATATCTTAGCTCTAGAGATCCCATAAGTAGCAAAATATTTTTAAATACCACACTAATACCTATAGTTATTTTACATAACACCAAAACAAAAGTCACTTTGGC